GTTCTTATTCAGTGTCCAGTTTACTTGGAGCAATTCAAACACCATCAACAGAAATTCAAAGGCATAAATATGTCACGGTTGTACCCTTGATCTTTCTCCTTGGTTTGCCTCTAGATGTAAAAAGAGCAGACTTTGGAATCTGAAAACTCTGGAATCAGAGCGGAAGGCACTATTATTCTGTTCTTTGTACCCTCTGTTTGATGTGAGAGGCAAATTTTCGGGGGGACGGTACACCCTGCTTTGGCTTAATTTCGCCTTTCCCATAACGGTAAAGGTAAAGGTTCCCTTGTTCGAAAGCCAGTCGAATCCGACTCTAGGGTTGCAGTGCTCATCTCCATTTCAAAGCCGAAGAGCCAGCGCTGTCCAAAGATGTTTCCGTGGTCACGTGGCCGGCATTATTTTTTTTTAACGATTTTATAAAAAGATAAGTCAAGTATACATAAACAAGATTACTATTTAAACATTAATACAGCCTGTAAGTGCAAATTCATTTAACAACGTGGCCGGCATCACTAAACACCAAGGCGCACGGAACGCTGTTCCCACTGAAGTGGTACCTATTTATCTACTTGCAATTTCTTACTTTCGAACTGCTAGGTTGGCAGGAGCTGGGGCCAGAGACGGGCGCTCACTCCACCATGCGGCACACTCGGGTCTCGAACTGCTGAACTACAGACCTTCCACAGCCTGCAGTTCAGCATCTTAACCACTTGAGCCACCGCAGCTCCTGCCTTTCCCGTAACCCCGTCACTATTTAATAATGCAAATACGCGCAGTCCCTTCATGGAAACGAAAGGATGCCCGGCGCCCCGTCTCCAGTTGGAGGGATCTGAAGGCAGACTGGGTTCCTTTGGCTGACGTACTGATAAAGCGGCTTTTTCCCCCGCTTGAGGCCTTTGCACCGTCTAGCTCAGAACAGGCTGCGCTGGCCTGCAGCATCTTACCAGAGCCTACTGCAGAGAAAGTTCCTAGGAGAGAACTCCTGAACTTGAGATGCAGGAGGAGGGAGTGAACCTCAGACCCTCCACGTGCAGAGAAGGGTCTCTGGGCTGTGGCTCTTTCCAAGCATATATGAAGCAAGTTGGGCCGCTGGCTTCCTGTAGCCCTCTGCTGTGCCCTGCTACGGCCAGGGGTCGGGCACAGTGTTCCCTCTAAGCTGAGTGAGTGTGAGCTAGCTCACAGTTTTTTAGCCTCCGGCTCACCCATTTTTGTCTCGGCTCAGGAAGGACGGCTCCAGAGCAAACTAATGTATGCAGTAGCCGAATTTTTAGCTCGTAGCTTTAATTCCAGTAGCTCACAAAGTAGAATTTTTGCTCGCAAGACTCCACAGCTTAGAGGGAGCATTGGCTCAGGCATGCAGAGGCGTTTCCTGGGCAGACCCCGTCTGGGTTCAGACTGTGTGTGTGTGTGTGTTCCCACTAGGCAGCGGCCTCTCCCGTTCCTTGGAACATGGCCCACGGGGGGGGGGGGGCGTTGGTCTGTGCCGATACCGATTTGTTTGGGGGAAGGGCCCCGGGGGGGGGGGGGGGCGTTGTTCTGTGCCGATACTGATTATCTTGCATTTGGGATGCTGCGAGGGTTCGATAGCACCGCCCAGTTGTCTTCTACTGCTGACTGTCCTTGGAAACCAACTTGGAGTCCCCGTTGTGTTCAGAGCTGTGGAAAGGAGCTACACTCTGTGTGTGAAGGGGTTTGAGGGAGAGGCTCCAAACTCGCAAGGTAGCTGCTGGAGCCTCTCCCTAAGATACCCACCAAGTTTCAAGAACATTGACCAATTCTACAGGCCCCCAAACAGGTTGCCCCCATTCCCTCCGTTGTTCTCTATGGTGGCCGAAAGATTCCCAAATGGGCTGGTACTGCTGAAATTGACATGTGGGAGTCTTTCTGCTGGCTGAAATTGATTCTGCCCGATTCTGCTCTCCATTCAGCTCTCGAATAAATGTTCTGCGTGCGCGTAATGCACGAGGGACGAGTCTTTACACGAGGACGTCTGCATTCGCACAAGACTCGAACCTGTAGTTCAAAGTGACGGGTGAATAAATCACCTTCCAGCCATAGATTCAGATTTGTGGTTAGTGGAGCGACCCGGCCTGCCCGCAAGTGGTCGTGCCGGCCCTACCTGAGTCCAGCGGCGCCTCGAAGGGCCGACAAAACCTATTCCGGAGTGAGCCTTTGTGAACCGGAGCTCGCTCCGCTTCACGGGGCTGCCTTAACATTGCTTAGCGACGCAGCCGTCTCGCCCGTCTCTTGAGTTCCCGCTGTGTGCAGTTTTTTAATTGGATGAATTATATGAGATAAAGCCAGCCAGCGAGTCTCCAGCTAGCTGCAGATTTCTCAGGGCGAGGTGGCGGCCCAGGCACGCAGGGCTCTATTTATATGCCTGCTGCCGGCTGCGTGGGGCGGATGCGTCCTTCTGCAAACAAGGCACTGCCCGGCACCTTCCCAGTGGCTGCTGCCCGTCTGCTTCTGGCCTGCCAGCGCACGGCAGCAGCTGCCGGAAGAAGTGCTCGACTGGGTGATGCAACAGTCCCCCTCTCTTGCCTGGCTCGGGCTTTGAGTCACCCGGGCAGGAAATCAGCGTCCCTCATTCATTTGCTTGAATCACTCAAAGAAAAGAAGAGGAGGAGAGGAGGGGGAACTCTCGCTCGGAGTGAGTCACAGAGTCGGGTGTGTTTTCCCATCCGCGCCCACAACTGTGCACTTATCACTCCGTCCGCAGCGCCCTCCTCGTATCGGAACTCCCCAGCCAGGTTCCCTTGCATGAAAAGCCGTCTGAGTAGGACTGATGCAGCCTTTCCCCTCCCCACACACCCCAGTTTCAGATGGGGGGGGGGATGTTTTGAACTATCTTGCCAGGTCTGCTTTGGAGCGTCACCCTGTGCTCATCCAGGAACGTTTTGCTTGGAGGTGTGGCAGGCAGACTGTAGGCACAGCAGGGAGGGTTCCTTCTTGCCTCGAGGGCTTTGCTCTTATGTCACACGGGAGAAAGTTGGAAATGGAGAAATGAGCAGTGGCGGGGAAGTGCTGGGAGGCAGTGTGGATCCAGCAAAGGAACATGGGGACAGTTCACAGAAGATTCCCCCCCCATTTCAAATCTTATTTCTGAAATGTTTGGGTTACTAACTCAAAGAGGTCTCTCTAAATGACTCCAGGTTTCATTGCATTTTTTAATAGAATGTTTTGAGCAAACATTTAGGTGGCTCACCGTTGTCGGTCTGAAGCACGCAGAGCAAAGTTTGAGTCCAGAGTGGCACCTTTAAGACCAATGAAGTTTTATTCAAGGTATACGCTTTCCTGTGCATGCACACTTCCTCAGGTACAAAGATATATATATATCTCCTCAGATATATCGTTGTACCTGAAGAAGTGTGCATGCACACGAAAGCGTATACCTTGAATAAAACTTTGTTGGTCTTAAAGGTGCCCCGGGACTCAAGCTGTGCTCTTAAACGAATGTTGGCCCCGTTCACACGGAGAAGTCGCCGCGCGAAAGGCACGAACGTCGGGTGGATTTTCGGAGCGCAATCACACCGCAACATCTGGGAAGCGTAGCGCACCCGTGGCCAACCCGTGGCATCCCGCCTAAGATGCGCAGTAAAAAACTACCTCGGAAAGTGCACTAGTATCCGGGAAACGCGCAGCACAGGAGGGCATCTGATCGCGGGAGCGCTAGTATCCCGTGGCATCCGGCGCCCGTCCACGTCCCGTCGCAAACCGGATGTTTCTCGTAACCCACGCGCACAAACACGTAACTGAAAGCAGTGCCGCTCTGCGGAACTGCACGTGCGCACAAACGCGAAACGCTTGTCACGCCGCCTCTTTGCCACGCTGCAGCATCGCCGTGTGATCGCCAGCTAACAGTCAAAGCACAAAGTCTCGGGGGACCGTGTGATTGGGCTACCGTGCTTTATTTTGCTCCAGGGCGAACAGCCACGCCTCCCCCCCCCCCGGGTTATCTGGCCCGTGTGACCGGGGCCGTTGTTGTTTAAATACAAAACATCCCCAATTCTGGAATGTTGCTAAATAAAACCCGTGTCCGTTGGTACCTCCCAGCCCCAGAGTCTTCTGAACAGGACAGAGGGTTTCTTTCTTATACCTCCTGAGGCTAAGCAGATAGAAGGGAAGGCTGTGGTCCAGTCCTGCTAATGGCAAACCATTCATGCCTTCCATGCAGCTGCACAGATGGAGAAACAGAAGAGGACGACCTGTCGTGTGCATGGAGGGGTGCCGGTGAATTGGATGTGTGTGTGTGGGGGGGGGGGGGGGGCCATCCAGTCACAGTTGACTTATGGTGACTGTGTGTGATTTTCAGGGCAAGAAATGTTCAGAGGTAGTTTGCCATTGCCTGCCTCTGCATAGCAACCTTGGACTTCCTCGGCGGTCTGCCATCCAGATAGTAACCAGTGTTCCCTCTAAGCTGAGTGAGTGTGAGCTAGCTCACAGTTTTTTTAGCCTCCGGCTCACACATTTTTGTCTCCGTTCAGGAAGGGTGGCTCCAGAGCAAACTGATTTATGCAGCAGCCCAATGGCTCGCTCACAACTTGAATGTCCGTAGCTCACAAAGTAGAATTTTTGCTCACAAGACTCCACAGCTTGGAGGGAGCGTTGATGGTAACCCCGGGCTGATACTGCTTGGCTTCTGAGATCTAACGAGGTGGGGTTAGCCTGGGCCCTCCGGGTCAGGCCAGCGAATAGGACGCCCAGCTCTCAACGGGTAAAGCAAAGTTTCAGCGGCTGGAGGTGGCTGTGTGCCTTCTCCCACCCGAAATTCTCAGAGCACATCTGTTTGTTTGCACGGAGCCGCGTGCCCCTCTTGGGTGGGGGAGGGGAGCATCGGGTATCTTGGTCACTTGGGGTGGCGTTTTGCGCCAGGGACAGCTGGGTCACGCAGAGGGTACCTTTTCGGCTGAGGAGCCCTCGGCTCCCGGCCCGCGAGGAGGGCCCTCGCTCGAACTCCCCCGCGGGGCGGCCGCTAATTCTGCCTCCTGGGTCTCTTCCAGTGGTGCTCACGGCGGTGAACTGCTACAGCGTGAAGGCCGCCACCCGGGTGCAAGATGCCTTTGCGGCCGCCAAGCTCGCAGCGCTCACCTTGATCATCATCCTCGGATTTGTTCAGCTTGGAAAGGGTGAGTTCATTTACACACACACACACCCTTCACCTCCTCTTTCCTTATCGATCTGAAAATATGTCACAGGGGAAGGGTTTTCTCTGTCCGAGCAGTAGGCACTTCCACAAATAAAATGTGCTTCATTTTCTCCCCATTGCAGTAGGCCAGTGGCTATAGCGGCACAACAGCCCTGTGGAGCAGGCCTAGGGAGGGGCAAAGCTTTGTGATTCTGATGGATTTGTCAGTGGATTCCTCCCTCTTGTGTAAATTCGGCCTCACAAAGCAACTACTGGGGGGGGGGGGCCTCTCCAGCCTGGGTCACGGCTGCAAGGCTGGGGGCAAAGGGGTTTTAATTCCTCCCCCCCCATCCCCCCGTGATATTTCCCCTAGTCAAAAGTGCTTTTAACTCTGGTGGGGCAGGGGGAGGTACGTGTCCCGTTCCTGTCTCTGAGAGACAGCAGAGCATAATGGTTAGGGCGTCGGACTAGGATCCGGGAGACCTGGGTTCGAGTCCCCACTCTGCCATGCAAGCTCGCTGGGGGACCTTGGGCCAGTCACCCACTTGCAGCGTAACCCACCTCGGAGGGTCACCCAGCAAGCTTCCTGGCCGAGTGGGGACTCGAACCTGGGTCTCCCAGATGCTAGTCAGAGGTTCTTAACTACCACACGATGCTGGATCTTTTTTAAAAAAAAAATTGAATTTCAAGGTGCAGCCATGACTTAGTTTTTGGCTTTCTGTTTCTGAGATGAACCGTTCTTACCTGCTTCTGTGCATCTTCCCCCGTCCCGCCCTAGCTCGGCCCACCCCGAGTCGTTCCCTTGCAAAACTGCTTCCACTGGGCTGGTCGAGCATCCTGGCAATCCAGGGGAACCCACTGCGATCCGCTGTTCTTTGCAGCAAGAAAGTCCAGGATATAACAAAAGTCTGTGTGAATAACTAATAACCCATAAATAATTAGATTTAATGATGCTATATTAGTATAATAATATGCAGGGCTTTTTTTGTAGAAAAAGCTCATCATGAACTTATCAGCAAAATAGGCCACACCCAGCAGCAGAAGCTCATTAGCATATTAGGCCACACCCCGTGCCTTCCCTTGGCTTGTCCGGGCAAGCCGGCCCTTGGACAGGCTGGGGAAGGCACGGGGAGGCATTTAAATGCCTCCCCAATCCTTCCAGGGGGCCCCTGGGCCCGCCTGCCCCAGGCCTTCCCTCTGTAGCCACGCACACACAGAGGATTTGGCTGTAGGCATGGGCGTGGCCAACTCGGAAGCCAGCTGGAACTCCACTCCTGTGCGTTCCTGCCCAAAAATAGCCCTGAATATGTATATAATCACAACATAGTGGATAAATCAATGCTTCATAAATACAACATAATAAATATCCCATACAAAGTGTCTAAATCATAGACAGAGTTCTTGCCAAATTATTTATATTTTATGGAAAGCACAATTTTTATAAAACATAAGTAATGGGGCAAGAACTTTGTCTATGGTTTAGATATTATTTAATCTTCGACGTGGTCTCTGTGCTTCACAACCATGGGATCTAGTGCGCACGCGCTGGATCGAATAAAAGTGGTTTTTTAAAGCTTTTTTGAGGAACAAACTATTAAAAGAGAAAAATAGAGTAAGGAAAAAATTCCTAGGAGCTGTGAGGCGAAAGCTAACAGCGAACCGATCTGACCAACGAAAAAGAGGTCTACTCAACGCGGCGGTAAGAAAGGAACTGGCGGGATGTCCACACCCACCCCTCTGGGCATGCGCGGCGGGGTTCCTGCGCATGCCCGAGGGACTGGGCGCGAAAATCCGTTAGAAAAGAGCTTGCTACAGCACCGATCAATCCAGCGCGTGTGCACTAGATCCCATGGGTGTGAATGCACAGATGACCACTCGAAGATCACCAGTTACTGGTAAGCAACCTGCTTTTATGTTGTATTTATGAAGTTCTGATTTATTTATGAAGTGTTGATTTAGAATTATAGAATTGGAAGGGACCTCCGGGGTCATCTAGTCCGACCCCCTGCACAATGCAGGAAATTCACAAATGCCTCCCCCTCCACAGCCCTACTAAGCACTGTACCGCTCCCAGAAGATGACAAAAAACCCTCCAGGATCCCCAGCCAAATTGGCCTGGAGAAAAACTGCTTCCTGACCCGAAAGTGGTGATCAGCATTTCCCTGGGCATGTACGCACTATGTTATGGTTATAGGTTATTTACATATTATATTAATATATCATTATTAGATCTGGTCATTTATGGGTTATTAGTTATTCACATTTTTATATACTGGATTTTCTACTTATTTCCATGTTCTCCTTTCGTGTATCTCTGCAGCAAGAAAGCCGGCGTGTGCCTTCTGTAATGAATGATGCGGCAGCCACGCAGTCACTTCCCTGAGCTGTTGGCCAATGCAGAAAATATGTGCATGGGTTGGATCCAGCAGTCTGTCAGGGGAAAGCGCTGATATTTGCAGATCTTTCCTGCATCTCTTCTCCCCCCCCCCCCCGCATCCCATCCTGCCTCTTCCGTCCCTTGGTCTTGCCCCCTTTCGCCCTCCTCCGTACAGCCCTCCAACCTGTGTGGCTGTCAGTCAACAAAGTCCTGTTACCCCCAGGAGTCAACCTTCCCAGTGTCAGAAAGAACTGCAGGGGGTGGTCGAGGGGTGATTTGCGATCCTGGCACCCGTGGGCTGCCGGGTCCTGCGGAATGAATTTTTAAAAGAAAAGCAAGTGAGCTGCCCTCTTGGCTTCAAGCGAAATATCCCGTTTGTCGGTTGCTGGTGGGAACTGTGTCTTTCTCCTTATCAGAAACATGGCTGCTAGCCCTCAAGCGGCGACACCCTTTAACGGTGGCAGCTGAGCACAGATATCATTCCTTTCAAAACGTTTCCGTTCAAGTGCTTCCAAAGAGACCTTCCTCTCCCAAAAGACTAGAACCCGAGGACATCCAGTGAAGCCGGAGGGGGCAGCGGATTCAGGACAGACACAAGGAAAGACCCCTTTGCAGAACGAGTGATTAAAAAGCGGAATTCGGTGCCAAAGGCTGTGGTGACACCCAAAAGGCATAGGCAGCTTTAAACAGGGGGGTTAGACAGGTTCATGGAGGACAGGTTTATCAGTGGCTGCTAGCCACAGTGACTCAGGAAACCCTCCACATTCAGTGGCGGTGAGCTCTTGAACACCAGAGCCAGGAGGCAACATCAGGGGAAGGCCTCAGCCTCTCTGTCCTGTTCTTGGCCATCCGAAGGAGCTGGTTCGCCACTGCGAGACAGAAGGCTGGACTAGATAGACCACTGGTCTGATCCAGCAGGGCTCTTCTTACCTTCATTTCAACCCTTTCGAGACCCCAGCATGAGACCTTCTTGCACTGAGACGAATTCTCCTCAAGGAACTGTGCAACAGTGGAATCAGCTGCCTCGGGAGGTGGTGAGCTCCCCCTCCTTGGCAGTTTTTAAGCAGCGGCTGGATGAAGAGGAAGAAGAGATTGGATTTATACCCCGCCCTTCACTACCCAACGGAGTCTCAGAGCGACTTACAATCTCCTTTCCCTTCCCCTCCCCACAACAGACACCCTGAGAGGTAGGTGGGGCTGAGAGAGCACTGACAGAAACTGCTCTTTTTCAAGGACAGCTCTGACCGAACTATGGCTTGCCCAAGGTCATCCAGCAATTCACAAAACCAAACAAGGACCCACGGTAAGTAGGAAAACCAACATACAACAAGTACCGTGCACAGATGATTATAACATATCATAAATAATTTTATATTTTTTGAAAAATATGTATACAGTAATTTCTACATATATAATAAATCATCTTAATCAAAAATATCAAAAATCATCTCCAAGAATCTCAAAAGCTATTGTACAACCTTTAATAGTAGTCCTCCTCTGTTAAATAAAAGTTTCATCCAAGAATCTCAAAAGCTATTGTACAACCTTTAATAATAGTCCTCCTCTGTTAAATAAAAGTTTCAAAAGGGAGGACTCCTTAAAGTCTCTTTATAACATAAAGACACGTTATAAAGAGACTTTAAGGAGTCCTCCCTTTTGAAACTTTTATTTAACAGAGGAGGACTATTATTAAAGGTTGTACAATAGCTTTTGAGATTCTTGGAGATGATTTTTGATATTTTTGATTAAGATGATTTATTATGTATGTAGAAATTATTGTATAAATATTTTTCAAAAAATATAAAATTATTTATGATACGTTATAATCATCTGTGCACGGTGCAAGGTCATCCAGCCAGCTGCAAGTGGAGGAGTGGGGAATCAAACCCGGTTCTCCCAGATTTAGAGTCCGCGCACTTAACCACGACACCAAACTGGCTCTTACACTAAACACTTGTCAGGGATGCTCTAGGCTGATCCCGCACTGAGCAGGGAGTTGGACTAGATGGCCTGTCTGGCCCCTTCCAACTCTGAATTGCACCCTCCTAGTTGGGATCTTTCTGGCCGCCTGACAACCAGTGCCCTCTGCCGTCCACGCACTGCTTTGCCCTTGTGGGATGTACACAGTTGAGCACATCACTCTGTCAACAAGGCTTTCAGCAACAGGTCACAGGGTTTCTTCCAACAGCACACTCCTGTCTGGGAGCAGATCAAATGTGCTTCTTTCCCCCCCCCCCCCACTTGGGCTGCTTGCTCATGCCAGGGGGACTTGGTGTGAACCAGCATGCATGCGCGCCTGCTGGGTATTCCCAGAAGACGAAGGGCGAGAAATGAAGGACAGCAGTGGGCTTGCGCATGCACTATACCTGATGACATTGCGCCCCCTCCTGGCCTGTGGGGAAAGTGAAACACTTAGAATCATAGAATGTGAGAGTTGGAAGGGACCTTACAGGTCATCTAGTCCAACCCCCCCTGCACTCTGCAGGAGCACAGCCGAAAGAAACGCCCTACAACAGACCCGGAAGATGGTCGTCCAGCCTCCGCTTGAAAACGTCCAGCGTTTTCTTTGCATTGGTATCCTGGACACGCGTAAGAGCGATAGCTGTAGAATACTGTAGGATAGA